GTCACCATAATTTTGATTTTGGCATTGTGACTTTCCACTCTGCCTGTGGTCCTTTCACCGAGGCTGAAGCTTTCATTCCTCTGGTAATCGCACCACACCAGATGAGTTTTTTCCGTGTGCCAGTATTTATCGAAGTAGGTCATGAATTCCGAGGTTTCCCCTCCAGCTGCAATGGTCAGCTCTTCATAGGCTTCATCATAAACCTCTTTTGTATGAGCATGGATCATCTTCTTCAAATGCTTGTCAACCTCTTCCCAGTTGTCTCTTGCAAGCTTCTTCACTGCTGTTCTACTGAAAACATCTTTGACGTGGAAGTCGCACAAGTGTATTTCGGCTGCAGGCAAAACTTTTTTTATGGATGCCACTTCAGCCTGTGACTTATCAACATAAATTACTTTAATTTGATCGGCTAACTTTTCTGAGCTCAACTTTAGCACTTGAAGTGCAGCAGTCACTACCTTTGTGTTTTCTGACAGAATCAGAGCATATCCAGAAATTCTGCCGGCTCCAAAGCAATCTACCACTGAAAATACTACCAGGGGCATCTCATTGTCGCACAATTGGTACGTGGTATCCATGATTACCAGCTCTGGGTACAGTTCCAGACTTTCCCTCATAAAGGAAGTCTGAAAGAAAATGCTTTGCATAACCTTTGAATTTTGGTCATAGTGGATGACAACTACAGATTTTGGGTCCTCCTTCTTAAGCTTCTCTAATTGTCTGAACACAGCATCTTCTCGAGACTCCTTATTGTCACCGAAGCTAGCGCGCCATTTATTTCTGAAACATTTGTTTTGGATATTTAGCTTTGAACATTAGTAAAGATTTTAAAATATACTTCCATCTTAAACATCCCAACAAACTCACCTCAAATTTTGAATGTCTTGAGATGTGGCCAGAACACCTGAATTTAATATGACATCTCTGATTCTGTGGGTTTTGGCCTCATTTTCAAACAAAAATTTCACTTTTTCAACAGCCTCTTCAGGAGGTTGTCTGAACTCAGGGTAGTGCTAAACATATTTCTTCTGAGGCACATGATTGGAGTGGATTTCTTCTAGCTTTGAAACATAATGGAAGTTTCCAGAAATGTCATAGCATGTATTAAATTTGGCCTTGCAATATTTCTTGAATGTCCTGGTCGCAAATGTCATGTCACTTTCTTAGTAATAACAATTTCCATGCAAGTAATCAAGTTTAGTTGTTTGGCTGGGTTCTTCAATTTAAGAAAAAAAATTATGCACTGTTACGAGGTTTCCAGATTATTACCTACGTTCGCCTTTTTTTTTGTAAAAAAAAAAAAAAAGGTGAGCTATGTAACTTCATTAACTTTGAGGTTTGCATTTTAAATTTCAGCAAGGCTGTCGAGTGTACTTAAACTGGTCGAAGGACCCAACCACAACAGCTTCAAGACTTACAAATCATACAACAAACCTTTGATTGCCACGTTTTTTTACCTTTACCCCAGGTTTATGCTTCGACTGCCTGGGAGCTCCACCGTGCTTGCAAAAGAATACAGTGTCTTTATACTTTGCCCCCAAAGGCATAGGTCTGTGAGGGTTGTTCTTGTTGTAGGTTTCCGCCAAGGTTGAATTCCTCCTCACATAGGGCACATTCTGCTCTTTGGCATACCTTGCAGCCGCCTCTTCAACTTCTTTAAAAGATTTAAATTTCTTATTCAGAACAATTGAGCCTGTCATTGTGCGGCGTGCGGCAAATATTAGCAAGGAGGTTAGCCTGAGGGGGAACCAACACTTTTGTAACTATCTCTTAATGTAACAATTACAGGGTTCTATATTTTTATTAACTTAGTTTATTCACTCCAAATAATCATGGCTAAGTCACTTACCTTCCAAGATTCCATCAACAAACAATACTTACAATATCACTCCATGACGAAAGGAGAGGAGAAAGCTGTCCTGTCGGTCTCAACGATGTTTTCACAACGACAACGACGTTTTTCTGTAGCTTTATTGGTGTATGCAAGTACAGCTGGTGCATCCTAGGTGCAAACGTTTATACGCACCGGGTGAGTTCGCGCCAAGAGCGATGGGATAGGGGAGGGGGTAGCTGATGACGGTCTGGCCAACTTCTATTGAAAAAAGTATAGTGCGTGCGGGCAGTCGAAGCAAATGCTCTCAGTTGGGTAAAAAACCCTCTGAAATCGTGTCTTTTCGTTTATTTTGTTTTAATGCAAGGTCTGTTCAATGTCACGCTTCCGTTCGTTAAAAATGTAGAATTTGAGGAATGCCAGTACCCTTGGTGCATATAATAAAGTGTGATAGTATTCGCACCAGGTCTCGGTGTACAACAAACTGGTGCATATAACATTTTTTTGTGTCGTAAATCGCACCAGCCGGTGCGTCCACTAAAGTACATGTTATGTGCACCGGTACACAGACCCGGAGCAGCCCGGTGCACACAAAGTCCCAGCCCGTAGGCCGCACCAGTTGTGCCTGTGCACATAACGCAACGCGCCTTCCATGCACCAGGGCTGGTGTATATAATACTATCCTAAAGTATTCCGGTAAAGCTGAAATGCAGAAGAATGCGGGGAAGAAAAAAACGGAAATCACCATGTTACAGCGTAGCGATTTCCTTTTTCTTCTTCCCCGCATTCTTCTGCATTTCAGCTTTATCGGAATGCTTTATTGAATGCCGGGCAGGGCTCAACGAGAGCCAGCGGGTGCGTATGCGTCCGAAAACGACAGTCGAGAGTGAGATTCTCGCCTTCCTCTCACTCATGCCTCTCGATTTCGGACGCAGACGAACATTTATGCCCGGCTCGCCCATGAGCCGCCGGACTGCCATCTACTTGTGTTCCTCTTCCTGTGACCCGGCCCGACCTGGCTATCTTTGGTTGGGGACCGTACTCAAACCGTGACGCATTATCGCCAGTTTTTGAGCCCCACCCCCTCCCCCCTTTTTACGTGGTTTGCAGCATTGTGTTATTTAACGTATTTACGGCTATATAGAGCATTTCAACCAAAAGTGCATGTTTGCTGATGTTGAAAACTAAAGTTGGTGGTGACTTTACAACACCGGGAGATTTCAGTGTTTTATCACAAAATTCAAAATTATGGTTTCTCAGCTGGTAATAGTCACGTGACTACGCCAAACCGGACCTCCCCCCCCTCCCCCCCTCGTGGTGGAGCGTTGTGTTTTCAACGCCCCCCCTTCCCCCAAAATGCGTAACGCGTCACGTGGCTTGGGTACAGCCCCCTACTCGGAGGAAAGTTTATACAATGCATTCGTTGTTGCTGCCTGGCGACAGCCCGGCAATAACCATACAGCTGTACGCCACACCATGCCTCGCGTAACAGGCTTCGCTATATCCGACGACACACCGTCACATTACGGAGCCCCAGGTGAAAATGTACCTTGCTTGGCACCCATGTCTAATAAACCATTCTGATAAAGCTGAAATGCACAAAAATGCAGGGAACAAAGAAACT